AGAAGGAGAAAGACTTTTAGCTACAAGAGATTTTACAGGCTTTTAGCTACAAGAGATGGACAGTCTCCTATTATAAAGTGCAAAGGGATATAAGCAAACAGATACTGTATGTTGCAGGAAAAGAAGGAGAAAACAACCCAATTTTTTGTATGGGTTTCCTTTTCCTACTTTAGCACACTTCTGAGGTTTCCTACATTCATGAACCAATATGTAACATTATACAACTATGGCTCTGCTTATTTACAGTAGCAGTGCACATAGTAATCCTTTAYGGTATTCTTTATCTCATTAAGGACTTTTTTTGTCAATGAACAAAAGAATGGGCCTGGAAAAGCACAGTTATTCCGTTAATAAACCAATAGAAAAACCCACAAACACATTTGGGTGGTCTCTTGAAGCTTAAAAAGGAAAATATTTATCCTTGTGCTTATACATAGAAAAGGGAAATTATATAGTCTTGAAGGCTTTTATAGGCAGTAAATCAAACTGACTGCATATTTTCATCACTYTAAAGCTTTCATTAGGAATGAGTAGTTAAGGTTTTGATGGGGACTTTTACTTAAAGTGATTGAGTTGCTATAACTGAGATTGCATAAACTCCATTTCAAGAGGTTTCCTAAGGTAAGTGCCTGAGTCATGCTGATGTGAGGAAAGAAGAGAGATTCTTAAAACACAGCAGCAAGGAAGTTTATTAGTAGTTCAGAATTKCTGCACTGACAGCAAGTGGAAAAACTTTACTGCTGGCAGGACAAGCTTTTGCTGAAACTTTGCAGATAAGGTTTTTTCCATGGCTGATGTATAGCAGGGCACTGGGAGCAAGAGGTGGCTTGGACTCTCCATGACCAGATGCCATATCTTCCAGCCATGAATAAAGTTAGAGAAAATCATACCTGAGCAAATTATATGCTGATCTGCTCTGTTACACTAGAGAAGTGGTCAGACATTGAATACACTGATAGCACTTGCTGTGCAGACTGGGCATGGATGCACACCAGTGCAATGGCAATTCCCCAGCAAAGCAAAAGTGATTTGCAGAAGTGCTATCCTAGTATACGTTTTAATGACTAAATACAGTGACAGAGCTTTTATGATATGCTTTAGATGTCTACAAAATAAGCCAAAATACAATTATTGCTGTGATTACAGTCACTATCTAGATCTACAGTCTCACTTTGTTTAAGTGTGAGCTATCACATCTAGCCCACCTTCTTCCCTGACATGGTCAGATTTAGTATTCTCTACATTTTTTAACTAAAGAGAAAGAAGAAAAAAAAATTAAACCCACAGACAATGAAGAAAAACATTCTGCATATAAATATGAAATGAGCTGTGGTCACTTTGCCTTCATGAGCCCATGGATAAGCGAGTACAATCACCAGACTGATGTGTGTGCTCTTGCATGTAAACCATATTTCTGCAGGTGCTAGTTCTGCAGCTTAATGAGGGCACCAAGGGAAAGCACGATGCCCACTGTGGAGAGCACGTTCCTTGGCTGTCACTGCTGCTCCAGAAAAGGAGCAGTTGATGGGAATTAACTGATCAATCTCAGGGAAAGCGAGCATCAAGGAAAGGGGAAGAGTCACAAGACAGAAACAGAGCATGAAGAACAAGATAGCTAGAGAAAGAACAGTGTTGCTAAAATTGAACACAATTCCCCCAGATAGTTAGGTTCTGAGTCTTTGCAACTGGGAACAGCTTCCTCTCTGTCTCTTTTGTGATTTCATGACAAAATGAACACTGGGATCCTTGGGTAAACCTTCATCACTGCTAATTGGTGTAGCTCCATGGAGAGAAGCATAATTTGGACTGTATCCTTTGGGCTATGGGACATAGGGAAAATTCTCTTTTCCCTATTTCACTGAAGCAGTCAGATTCTTCTCTGAGGTATTACTTTTTTTATCTAGAAGTATAGTTTTGCTATTCACTCTTTTCATCTTTTACTTTCTAATTTTTTTTGAGAGAATGATGCAAACGAGATCATGAGTTGTAACTAAAGATAAAACATCAGAAGCCAGCATTGTCAAAATAGATATTTTCAAAGCTATTTTGGCTTACTTCTAAATACCTCTTGAACCAATTACATCTGGAAGAAGAATTATTACTTTTTAATTTTTTTTGTTATATTATGCTTATTATCACTATATTTACTATTCTTATGGCATATAATTAGTAAGGACTATATCTCCTTTCCTTGCTAAATCCTTTCTCAGACAAAATTCAGAGTTTCACAGATATTCTGCTTGAAGATTATGTGATATATTTGCCTTTTATTGTGCCATAAGAAAAGCAACAAAATACAAAAACCTGTAATGAAATGTTACACAAAAAGGACACAGACCTTAAGGTGACACAAATAGGAAAAATATAATAAACCATGTGTCATGCTGCTGCAGCTGTTTCACCTCTTACCAATTTTCACAGTCTATAAAACCTTGGAAAGCACCAGATGTTTAGGGGAAGCTGTCCCATTCTCCCTAGCTTTTAAAGTGGATGCAAGATTTATTAGTACCATATAAATGTGATTTCAGTCCTGAGTTTTGTATTTATAAACTAGGTGGAATATGTAATGTATCCTGTTGTCAGAGACCGATTTGCTTTGCTCCTCTCTCTCCATCTCTAGACCTTGGGCATAGCTGAAAAACTAAAGTAGCAGAACAACAGAACAATATCAGAACATACATACCAACCTACGATATTTTCTATAGACAAACACATCTTAAGAGTTTTCCAGCAGTACGAACTTTCACCAAAAAGACCTTGCAATACACAGATTAATAGCTAAGCAAAACTGCCTTGTTGTGTATGAATATGCACTAACATTTGGGAATCCTGCCTACGCAGAGACTGTTGGTGCACAAAATTATTTTCTTTGCCTAGTGCATGGTTCCTAACATTGGAACAGGGATAAAGACTGCTCATGCATAGTTTCCAATCTTTCATAGCTCAGTGGTGCTGCAAAATGTTGCTATTCGTTTTAATTCAGTGAGTAGAAGTTTTGTTGTGTTTAGTACTAAGGGAATTGCATGTGTTATTAGAAAGCCTCTGACAGCTGTCAGAGACAGGGACAACTCACCGCATTTCAATCTTACATAAGGGAGGGACTAAGGACCCTCATCTTCAGCAGAGCTGTCAGAWGCCTCACAAAATGGGATAAAACAGAATACCTTTTTCAAATATAGGAAAGTCTCTCTATATGCCTCTGTTCCTTCCCTATCAAGTTGTACACAGAAATGTGTATAGATAGAAGAAAGAAAAATACCTCTTGATGTATTTGTACTTTATACATCACTTACCTGAAGGGATAATTGCACAGCAGCTTGCTTTCCTTTATGGAAGCACACAGTGTATTACATGGTGTTTAATACTTAATTAGGACTATCTTTCAACATTATGTGCAACTTTTCATACAGTTTTTCTTTTGTGAGAACAATCAGAATAYGCAAGGCTGATGAAGACAAGGACTTTTGCATCAAAGACACTAAAAGCCCAAATCTATAAACACTTCCACATTGGCAAACATATAACTACTCCCTGACCAGCAGTCTCACTGAATTCAAAGCACTGGGAAAGAAAATCTTCTCCTAGGACATTAAATCTTAACTTTCAGCTTTTCTTTTGAGCCAAACTTATTTACAAACTTATAAAAACTCTGCTGTTTAATTCAAACACACTTCTAAAGCTTAYATTATCTTCTTGTTCAGTATTGGTTACAGTTCTGCAGTTAAGGGCCACCTCCTCCAGCCTACTTCTTCCTTTCACCATGTAATCCCATGGGTATCCAGCCCATACAGCACCGCTTCTCCTAGTGACTCCTTTAAATAGTTCAAAGTACTGAGAAGGCGTGTTCATTACTGTTGAGTATTTGTGCTGTTTTTAAAAATACTCAATACTGTTTTTCATTTTGCTTAGTCTGATTCATTTTTTTTTCATCCTGTTTTCTGCTATCTAGTACCACCTCTATGCTGAGTAAAGCGAAAATGCGTGAGTGAGTCAGACAAGCTTTCAAAGTCACATTGTTTGGCGGGATTTGAAAAGTAAGCAAAATAAGATTGTCCCTATATCATCTTTCCAAAAGTAGAAGCAAGAATTTCCTTCCTTCAGTTATAATAAACACATTTTTATCTCTTGTTTTACAGCAGCTTCTATCAACCAAAAATCAAGTTTGAGCTTTGTATATTGATGATGCTCATTAATGACTGATATAACTAGCTGCTTCTGGTCTTTCTATACTATCATTAGCCTTATCTAATTCTGCATCCTACCCCTTCTGCATCCTGCCTTTGGATATGATCAAAAGCTATTTGAAGCTCTTATTTCTTTGTAAAATGTTACTCTTCTGGGAGTCCTTTTGCTCCAGGACATATGAATGGCTGTTTAAAGAGTTCTCTTTCTCTTTTTTATTAGTTTACTCTAGTGAAGAATTATTTAAATAAAGCTGGAATGGCAATTTCCCTTGAATACAATTTTTCTATACTCCATTGATCTGATGTTTTCAACACCGAAAGGAAAACATTAACATATTTTAAGCCAGAAAAGAGAACTCAGAATTTGCCATGTATGCAACTTTTTAAGTCCATTGCTTATTATTTTAGCATTTAGAAAGTAACAAAATTAAGAAAAGCAGCAGTTTCACTTTTTTGACTGGATATTAAACAGTGTTACTATCTTTTCAGCTTGCAAGAGCCTTGTTTTCAGCTCYGATATACATAGTTACACTATTTCTCAAATGTTAAACTTGTTATCATATCTTCAATTAGAGCTTCCTCTCYGTATTTCATGTATCATGTAATAAGTCATCTCAGAAACCTTAACATGACACAATTAGCATTATGTATGTCATAAGAATGGCTCTGGGATGGGAAGGTCAGTTAAGAAGTGATAATCATCTACTTTTTTTTTTCCCATAAATATTGACCAACAGTATGTTCTAACCTCACAAAACTCTGTAGATATTTGCTATTACCAGCATTTTCTTCTCCTGATATTTAAACTCTTCTTACCTATGAACAGATTCCACTCAGTATCCAAATCAGCCTGATTTGCTAGGCAGCCCTTCATTACATTGAGGCAATAGTTGTTGCAAGGTTTCACAGTGGGAAGTCCTCTGCAGTAAGGGCAGTACAACATCTTCATTAGTGCCCGGATGCACCCTGGGGTGGGACTGACCTGCAGAGTTTAAGGGGGAGGAAAGAAAAAGAAAAAGGAGTATATCAATCTCCTGCCCTGTGAATGTCGGGGTAGGTGAGGTTATGCTTCTCAAGCAGTTAATGCAGAAGGGGCACTTTGTGCAGAGAGCTCAACCCTTAACAACACCCTCCTGTGAGACTAATCGATTCCTACCAATTATCTCCACTTAGCACAGCCAGCAGTGATTTTCAGGAATGCAAAAATGAACACTCCCATACTGATGGCAGTGTTTTCCACCATATCCCTCCCCCACAAAATCTATAGGAACATAACCCCCAAATAAGTCAGACAGTAGCTGATTGACCTAATGTGGAGGATCCTGAAGAGTGAGGTGCTCTTCTTCCTCCTATTAGACCTGCCAGTCACATGGTAACTGCATCAGATTCTCCTCTTTATTATCACCCAGTAAATCCCAGATAATCCTGATCATTTCTATAAAATTATTCAGAACTACACCATGAAAAAGGGTATCATTCTYTTTTCAGTCAAAGCCACCATTCTATCTTCTGAGACAACCTTACAAAGAGAATAGAGAGGGGTTTTGTGTGGTTTTGCCTTTCAATATCTGAAGTGACAAAAAGCATTTCATAGACAACAGCCTGATGCATTTCAATTTACATAGCCCTATGACACAAAATGGCTCTGCATGATGAACTTAAAACAGCCATCAGAGTCAATGGCAGGACTCTCAATGAGTTTAGGAAGCTTTCAGACAAAATCATTAATCCTGGGCATAATTGACAGAAGAATGCAGTGTATATGCATAAATTAAGAGTGATTATACAACACAGTTTACACTAAAAGGGTATGCAGAAAGAGAAACAAGCGTAGGGAAAGGTTTTTTAACAAGGATTCTCTATTATTTCTAGTGATAGGATCCTTCATCTCACTCTTTTCAGTCATTAAAAAGCTAAGCATCTCTTCAGTGATGTGTCTTCCATATTCAAAGGAGACAAACAGGTCCTCTCTAGGGAGGCTTTGCTTCTTTGCCCACCTATGGAGAGACAGGATACATCATCTTCTATAAGGCATTCATTCAGGTTTCTATATCTAAATTTAGACTGCACAAACGGGTCACATGTGATAAAAACGTGGAGCTCCTTAAGTAAATGTTGTTTCCTTCTTCCTCTCATTTTCCTATTTAATTGTTTAATCTCAGATCCTTAAAATCTTAGGTACTATTATAACGTGCATTTCCCAGGACAAAAAATCGATCTTGGATTAAAAGCACTAAACAAATGTTAGACACTGCTCGCAATATTCTCTTGTCATAGTGGAGCACAGCATGTGTTTCTTGTGCCACAGTGGTAGTATAGAACAATGACAGAAAGGCTTCAGATTCCTTGGTGATTTAAGAATTTCTGGAGATAAAAGTGCAAAGTAATGACATTCCTTTTATTCACTCTGTTGGTTCGTGAATAAATGCAACATTTTTTCATATGAATTTGAAAGGATTAAAACATTTTTCTATGTTAATGGTAATTTGTGCTAAAATAGAAGGTGAAAGCATGATTATGACTTAATACTGTAAAAGCTTCTGATATGTTTTTTATTAACAGAATTGTACTGAAGTGGTTTCCTTTTTTTTGAGAGTTTCCTTTTTCTCTGAGAATTCTTTTCCACTTTCTGATATTAAAACACYAATTCTAGAATACTACGCAGCATATATTCTTTATGATTGACCTTTTTACATGAGCATGGCTGTTAAAGTTATAGCTGGTGCCCCTGTATATGCTCAGAGGTGATTTTTAACCTGGCTTCCTAGGGAAATTCACTGAACTTACACAACACTCTGGTGCTGTGCGTGAGGGTATATTTCTCTGTCCTTTCCTAATAGCTTTTGAAGCTGTTGGCCAATTTCAATCAGATTTGACTGAGGAGTTCAGATCTCAGTACATTAAGGTCCTACMAGTTTTTTGGAAATAAGACAGTTGGGAGAAGAAAAGAGACAGGTTTTATTACTGCTTTTATTGAGGAAAAGATTGAAGCATGAGGTCAATTCTTCACAGACTCTGAAGAATCTATGTGGAAGAAAAATATTATGAATGCCCTAGAAGATAAAAAAGCACCAGTTGAAATTTTCACTTCACTAAATATCAAAAAATCTAAATAGAAGGTACATATCCAGGGAAAAACAGACTTCACTAGTTTCACTGCTCTGAACCATTTTTTTGAGTCACTTATCCAACTTTTTTGTCTTTATATCTCCAAACCTACAGCAGGCTGATTTTACAAAAAGACATAGTTACCGGAAACTAGATGTAAGCAAAATGTAGATTCCTATGGTTAATGGTGCAATGTTGAAAATTACTTCAAAATAATTGCTAAAAGCCAGAGAAAGATGTTTCTGTCTTTGGGCATTATGGGTTGTCAGCAAAATTTCCTTCATGCTTAGAACTATTCTTCTTCTTAGTCTCTAAAGCACCGTCAATGCAAAGTTGTCAGCACCAGATTCACCCCTACGGTCAGCTGGAATTCACAGATACCAYGGATGGGAATCCATGCCCTCTCTGGCCTCCCTTGTGCTGAGAGAATATATATCAATAAGATCTTGGCCTTGCACAAAAGCTTCTGGTGATTTCTCTTTCTAGAAGCATAGCTAGAAGAGCTAGAAGWTCTACAGCAGTCTCTAGTTTTAAATTATATCAATTGTATATCACAAATGTGTGAAGTTCCTTCGGTATGGGTTATTCCTCATCCTTCACAAGTTTATGCTGAGAGAGAAGTATCTGTCAGCTCTTTCACTGCCAGAGGTGCAAACAGTATCTTCCACTTGTTAGGAAAGAACTCTAATGGCAAAATAGATTATTTATTTACACTGGCCCAGTGAATCCTGAAATCTTTTCATTGCCAAGCAGAACTCCCAGGAACAGTCCACTTCCAAGAAGTTAGGATAAATTCTTTCTGCTCAAAAAGAATGAACTGAATTTCAGTTTCTCATATCTTACCTGAAGAGTTTAACACCTGCTGTACAAAACAGCGACATGACCAACTTTAGAAGAAAGGAGTATACTTTGCTTCTGCTCTTAGAGCAGTAACGCTGCTTCTAAGATAAAAAGTAGATATAGAAAACTTTTACAGATGGGTATCTTCTGCCTCCAAACTAAGCAGCTACCTACTAAGCAGGCTAGAAGCTGTTGTGTTTTTGAAATAAAATGCAAGCATGGATCAATTGCTGTCTCTGGGGCCAAGTGGCAGGTACTGGATTGCATACTCAGGGCCAGCCACTTCTGGTCCAAACTGGCTCACGTCCCTTACTATACAATGCTTGTCCCTATTTTTCCTCTGGGCCCCACATGGATCCTAGGTAGTTTAAAGACATAACAATTATTTTTGTAATTTTTTTTTTTAAGCTCAATATGTTTGAAATAATATGAGGTAGCACTGCATGAAACTACAGGAGCTGCAGGAAACTAAGTTCAACATTGCATGTTTTGATGTGAGACAGGAACTTATATTTTGCGGCAAAGCCTGCTTGGGTTAGTGATAGAAAGAAATGTGAGAAGCAAAACAGGGCAGGTATCTTCACATAGCAGTGAAGACAATGCCTGTAGTGTAATATACTGCAAACAGAGCTGAGACTGTGCTCTGGAGGGAAAATCAGAGGGGTCCAAAATGGACCCAGTGGTGGCTTAACAATTAAGCTGTAATCTCAGAACATGATGATTCCAATTCTCAAGAATGCTGCAAATCCACTTGTGTTTTGGCAACACTAATATATCTTCACACAGCCAACTCTTTTATGGAAAAGGGAAGCTAGAAAATCAGCTTCTTTGGAGGTGTGCGAACAGCGAGGCCCTGAACCACAGGCCCAAGTCAGGGTTGACTTACAGCTGGATATGGCTCTGCTTTWGCAGAAGTACCCAGAACTCGCCTGCAAATTGCTTCTGCTAACCTGCACGTAGGCTCATAAAATTATAACTTTTGTAGACTCTCAGGATGCGTTTTTGACCTTGAAGGGAACTTTCCCATCCGAAGCCGAGGCTCCGGCCAGGTCCCAGTTCCGGTCCCGTATGATAAAGCAGATGTTACTGCTAACAAAGAAAATGCAAGTTTTGCTGATTAGGTTTTATAAAAGCTGGACCCTCTTACAGCGACTTTGGAGACCTCGCTTACAGGTGGATGCACCGTGTAAGACCTCCCAATTGCTGGGAAGGCTCCAAATCCTGGCCGCAATAGGGGCTCCCCAGCGACTGTGGATCTGGATGATGGTAACACATTTAGGCAATTGGTGATATATCTTTTTCTTAATCACTATTCTCTTTCTCATATAGTAACAGTTAAGGGTATTACTTTGCTTATTTTGTCTGCAGTTACAACCCGGCACATAGTAAGCTTATTGTTTCATTTGATTTATCATTTCATTTCTATATTATTTGATATTAATAGTACACACAACCGTTCTTTCCCTTGGTGACTTCGTTATTTCCACTGTGCCCCATCAACCGGAAGTTAACTGGAAGTTAAATGGTGTGTTATAACATCTAGGTGCCTCTCTGAATCTGGCTTTCAGTAAGGGGCCAAGCATTAATTCTCAGTTTCCTCCTATAACTTTTTTCTTTTTTTTTTTTCAGAGAATGTAGTTAGGCCTTTTTCCTCCCTTAACAATAGCTGAAGCATCTGCCAGGCAAAAAATTATCACACTTCACTGTAGCATTAAAAGTCCTAGTAAAAGAATAAACATAAAATTCAGTGTAGAATGCATTTCAGAAATCTATGAACATGTGAAATCTCAAGATTATCATAGAAAGTCATTTTTCAGCCATATAAAATTTACTTGCTGCTATTTGCTGCTGGCAAATACTATGAAATGTATTTTTGGAAGACCATTTCTCATCCCATTTGAAAAAAAACACTCTATAACCAGAAYTTCTGTCACCTAATAGTACTTTTCTGTAGACCATTCAAAAGACTTCAATTTAGAAGCATTTAAAACACAAAAAACAAGAAAATATTCAGAAGCATGGGCTGTGGAGATC